AAATTTCTTTTTTTTTTTGTATTTTTAAAGATTTATTTATTCATTTGAGAGAGAGAAAGAGAAAGAGGGAGCAGAAGCAGGGCGAGGGGGAGAGGCAGAGAGAGAACCTCCAGCAGACTCCCCGCTCACCATGGGGTCCAATGCAGGACTTGATCTCTTGAGCCTGAGATGATGACCTGCACCGAAATCAAGAGTCAGATGCTTAAGGGACTGAGCCACTCAGGCACCCCACATTGGGTATTTTTAGTACTTATATTACTTGACCTTTCTGTGATACTTAAGGTATTTTTTTTCACTTCTCTGGCAACTATTCTCTCTGCTATATGGGGATCATCCTTAACAAACTGTTGAATGTTTAACTTCCTCAAGAATCAGATTTTCCCTTCCTACTTGGTGGCATCTCCCTGGACAGCCATGTCCATACTCACATCTGCAGTTACTTTCTAGGCACCGAAAACTCACCACTCCCAAACCTCCTGTCTGACCTACAGATACACATATCCATCTCCTGACCTGGACATTTCTTTCAGCTCTCTCAGGCACCTCACATGCAATATATCCACAACCAAAGTGGTGATCTGGGCTCCTGATGTGAACCCTTGCGTAATGGGATTCACTCAATGGTCTTGTCCAACCCCAACTCAGAAAGGAAAATTGTCCTAAAGATGGTAATATGCAAACATAGGTTTAAAATCTCTTTTCATAATTGATATCTAACCTTAACATACTGTGATCAGAGAACTTTGTTTGATATCTGTTTTGTGGTATTTGTTGAGATAACCCTTGTGGCCCAATATGTTCCTTTTGTTCCATATGCACTTGTAAAGAATGCTGTGGCAGATTGTATTTTCCACAGGTGGTTACACCAACATATTTATCCAGTCCATGTGCTCATCTTACTGAACACTGACTAACACTCCTCCTGCCAAGAGAAGGAGCCTTTGTTTTCTTTGTTCTTCCTTGAGTCTCGATGAGGGTTTGTGACTGCCCTGACCAATGAAATGCTGTCTAAGTGGTATTAATGTGATTTCCAAGCCTAGGCCATGAAGAATATAGCTTCTGCCTGGCTCCTTATCTGGGAACCGTTGCCTTGGGAATCCAGCACCACATTGTGAGACATGGAGAAGCCACATGTAGGTGTTTTGGCTAATAGCCCCAGTTAAGGTCTCAGCTAACCTTCAGTAACAACTGGCAAACATTTGAGGGAATGAGCTTTCAGATGATTCCAGAGCCCAGCTTCCAAGGTTTTCAGCTGAGGCCTCGGGCATTGTGGCATATAGAAGCACTGGCTCACCATCCTCTGTCAGAATTCCTTTTCCATAGAAACCATAGAGACAATAAATTACTAAATTTCAGTCATTAAATCTTGGGTATTTTGTTATGTAGTAGTAGGCAGCTGATGCAAGTATCTATTCTATCACTGCTACTTGCCTACTAGTATTTCCACCAGTTTACTTTTGGTTTCTGTTTGCTTAGTGTATAGTCTTCTATACTTTCCCATTCAAACTCCCTTTATGTTTTAAATATTTCTTCTAAACATTATGTAGCAATGTTTAAACATATTTTTAAATGGATTTTTTTAACAGATGTTTTAATCCATTTACTATGATTTGTGATATATTTGAACTTACTTTAAGTATTTTCTTTTGTATTTTCTACTGCCTATGCTTTCCTTTGCTTCCATTCTAGTTTTCTACAGAGAATCGACTGAGTTTTCTATTCTTTATTTTGTTCCCTCAGTTGGTTTGGACATTTTTATTCTTTTGGTGATTACTCTTAAATATTTTAAATTTGTGAAATAGACCATACATATAAAATAATTCTTGGAGGTGTTTATCTATAGTTATTTATAGTTATTGTATTGTTTTATATTATAATACAATACATAATAAACTGAACATTTTAGATTCCTCTTCCCTGGCCAAGAAATAGAACATTACATATATTCTAGAATCTTCCCCAATGCTTCTCATTATATCTCCTCCCTTGCCTTCAAGCTAAATGTTGTCTGAATTTCTATGTAAATCATATCCTTGCTTTTCTTTATAGTTTTTGCCACTTATATGTTATATTCCAAAACAAGATAATATATATTTTTGCCTTTTGAACATGTCGTATATATGAAATAATATATACATAGTCTTCTGTGATTTGGTCTTTGTTTTATATAATATTTTTGAGAGGCATAGATGTTATGGGTGTGACTTTTTCATTGATTTTTCAAAGCTGTGTAATATCCCATTGTAAGACTGTAAAAATGTATGTATTCATTGTACTCTTGATAGATATTTGGGTTGTTTTCAGTATTTCTTGGCATTCTAGCAATGATGCTCTTTAATAATTTAATCAGTATCTATCTCTTCCTTCTAAGTAATTCATTCCCCTCCCTTATTCCATATAATTGCAGCCAACAACTCATTTCACCTTATTTGCAAACCCTAAAAATGGTCGTAGTTGTTATTGGAATTTAGAACCAAGGCTTAGTAATTATTATTCAATACTTATTATTTATTATTAAATTTACTAGATTTATCATCATGCTTGCTAATGTCTTTATTTCTCATTGCTTTTAGCTCCTCATCTCTTCTACCTGGGGTCAATTCCTTTTTATTCAAATATGTCTTTTAGTATCTCTTTTAGCAAAAGTAAACTTCTGTGATCAGGAAACAATCCCCACCCCACCCCCCACCCCCCACTGAAAAATGTCCTTGTTTCTCTGTCATTCTTGAATGATAATTGGTTTAGCATGGCTGTAGCGTTATTTGCTGAACTTTTTTTTTTTCCCCTTAGTACTTTGAACATGTTATTCCATTGCTGTCTTGCTTTTATTTTTGCTGATGACAAGTTGTTTTGCAAGGAGTCTGTTTTTTCTCTCTGGTTGACTTTAAGACTTTCTATCTTTGGTGTTTTGTGGTTTCTTTCTGATGTATCCACCTGTGGATTTGCTTTTATTTATCTTCTGAGGTCTTGGTGTACTTTTTTCAGGAGGATTCATGTGTCACTCTAGAAAATTTACATTCATTATCTTTTTATATTTGTCTTTTCCTTTTCTTTTGAGCTTGGCTATTTGGATATATACATATTTAAATTATCACCAAATTTGCTTAGCATTTCTTTGTGTTTAAAGTGGAAAGGCATATATAGATCAGTGTCTATGCCAGACCATAAATCTCTCATATTTTACAAATTGCAATGTACTATTTTGTCTAGTCTTCCCAAGATTATGTTCACCCCAAATTATCTTTCCCCCAACTCCATTGCAATTCATGTAACAGGGGGATAGGGAAATTTCTGATGTTGTCTCATGGAGGGGCTTTATATCTTGCATTAATATTCCAAGATTTCTGTCACAGCCCAGAAGTCTGGTCTTGTTCTTCAGTGATCATGCATCAGCAGTAATGGGTTCTTCGGTAAGGGCTAAAGCAGGTATGTAGGATATTGAAGGAAAGGAAGAAAAAACCATGGGAAAACCATGGATTAGTTGGCCATTCCCAACCATTGCACCTTTAGGAGATGTGAGGACCTAGCCAAGAATGACAGAAAGAGGAATATTCCAATTGTATTTGACCATGTAGAATCACCCTCTGGGTAATGATGTACTGATAGAGAATGTTATATCAGCCCCTTGAAATATCATTACTACAGTAGTCCCCTGCTTATCGACTAAGGTTACATTCTGACGCCTTCAGTGGATGGCTGAAACTGAATGGTACTGAGCCTTGTTTATACTATATACATATATGTAACTATGATAAATTTAGTGTATAAGTTAGGCACAGTAAGAAATTAACACAATAACTACTAATAAGTTAGAACAATATTCTATAATAAGTTATGTGGAGAATGTGGTCTTTCTTTTTGTTTTTAAAGATTTATTTATTTATTTATTCATGAGAAACAGAGAGGGGGAGAGAGAGAGAGAGGCAGAGATACAGGCAGAGGGAGAAGCAGGCTCCATGCAGGGAGCCCTACGTGGGACTGGATCCCAGGTCTCCAGGATCAGGCCCTGGGCTGAAGGTGGTGCTAAACCGCTGAGCCACCCAGGCTGCCCTGTGGTCTTTCTCAGAATATCTCACTGTGCTGTATTCACCCTTCTTCATGTGATGATGTGAAATGATAAAATGCCTATGTGATGAGACGAAGTGAGGTGAGTGATGTAGGCATGACAAGTAGCCTTAGGCTACTATTGACCTTCTGACAGTTTGTCAGAAGGAGGATCATCTGCTGCAGACCACCACTGACTATCAGTAACTGAAACCATGGAAAGTAAAACCTCCAATAAGGGGGGGGGGGGCGGATCTCCTGCATTGCTTAACAACTCTCATTTACCACATGTCTTGCTGTGTTGACCAATGTATGCTGAGTACATGGTATTTTTTGATCACAGGGAGCTTAATTTAACATGTCAAGTTTTGATTTGAAATATCAAGTGGGGCTTCCTCGGCTTTGTGAGTTTCTCTCTACCTAGGTTAAAGGGACTGTACCTGTTAGCTTGCATCTTTGTACTCATGGGCGCAAGTGGTGAGCTCTGGATTGGAAGGACCAGGGGCCTCATATCAATGGAACAGGCTCCCCCATGGAAAACATTTTCAGAGAAATGGAAATAGAGTATGCAAGAAAGATGACAATGGAAAAAGTAAGAAAATAAAGTGCTGGGTCAGGTTGAGTGTGCTGTGTAACGTTTAACTTTATTTTCATCTCTATACTTTAGAAGCCATTCTCATTCTGTTCAGGAGTTCACTCCCAAGAAGATTTGACTGTTGGTCTGACTGGTTTGTGTGACTTAATTCTGGCCAGAGGTGCGCGCTGTTTTCATTTGATGACAGTCTTTTATTGGCCTTTTGTTAGTGGAGTATGAAGCATGGGTTTTATCAATGGCTTATTTGGCCAGTGCCACCACATATGATGGCATATGGAAATTCTACTTAGAGGCACAGAGAGAAAACGTTTGGTGTTTTACTCGCAGATAACTCCCTGCTTTCGTTTTTATCTCTTTGTAGCTTTGAAGCTCAGCAAAGAAGGAAAATCCATTGAGAACAGTCTGTAAAGGTAAGTGTATTTATTACATGGCCTTGACAAACATTGCCTTTACAACATTGATTTTTCTTTTATTCAGAGATTTAAACACTTGGATTAAAGATATAGCTGACAGGACAACTTCCTTAACCACCTGCTTGTCCTCCCTCTTAGGCAAAAGTGCTGAGCAATAGTTAGCGGAGAGCAGGAAGAAATAAAATGATGTGCTGAGGGTAGCCAAATGCAATTGTATGCTTGCTGACTTTTGCTTTCTTCTCAGCAGTTAAGACATTCCAATGGAGCTAAGTTTACTAAGATTAATGCTAGCTGGAAAAAGAATGCACTCGTACTGCTTCTAGTCGATGGTTAAATAAAACCAGCTGGCCAAATAAAGCATTTAAACTAAAATGCAGAGTGGCATTTGAATTGGGTTGGATGAAATTTATCATGAAAGTCAGTTGTGCAGTTGTGTGGAGGAGCTAGTTTTGTAGAAAGGAGCAAGCCAGCCAGTTTGGTGTAGCTAATTTCATTCAGCCCAGTCTCTGTGGAATCTAAGTGAGTTACAGGAAATGAATTTCCAAGTTCGAAGCAATGGGAAAAGTAACTATCAGCTTTCTGTGAAACATTGCAATCGCGTTGGTTTTTACATGGAAAAATGTAATTGTTTCCTCTTTGCTAGGTATATTTATAAGCATACCACTGTACAGCATTGTTCTTTGATTCATTGTTTAATTTCTGTTCTGCATGAAGTATTTTAATTTAAAGAATTCATTCTGGGAAATTATAGGGCTGCAGTTTCATCAAGAGTCTTTGGTGGCCAGGGTGAAATATGCCATAATTTTACATTTGTTTTCATCATCAATTATGTTTTTGACAATTTTAGGTTTTTTTCCTGTCATTTTTATTACAGCAATCATGACCGTGACCACTTTAGTTAAAGTTGAAAAGCCATTTTGATTTACCTTCTATTTTAAGTTATTCCTAAACTTTATGAAAAATCTACTTCTGAGGCTGAATTTTTAATGTTTGTTTCGAGGGTGAAAAAGAATTTTACAAAGGAAATTGGAGAAAGCCTCTTTTGAATGATCAAAACATGAGCCATAAAAAAAAACACCATTTTGAGGATTTGCTTTGGGATGACTAAACAGTGGTGCATTGAAGTCTGGTTGGCGTGGAACTTTCTCTAATGGTTTTCAGCCATATAACTTCCACATCCCTGGACCACTGAGCCATATCTTGGAATAAAGCAGTACTTGATAGCTTCTTAGAAATAAATTCTCATAAATTATTGGAGTTGGTGATAATGTGGCAATCTTCAGAACTTTGCAATCTTTAGGTATGGTTACAGTGCTCCCATTTTTCTTAGAGACTGTTTTTCACACAGTACTCCATTTCCTCTGCTCTCAGTGAAATTCCTTTGTTAAATTGGTATTTGATCAGACATGGATTTAGTCCTTGGTTGGCTTCTATCAGCTGTTGAACCATGGACACATTATTTACTCCCTCTGCATCTCAGTTTCATAGTTTGTGAAATGGAGGTAATAATATTGTTTTCCTCATAAGGTTGTTGTGGAGGTTAAATGAATTATTATTAGGTATTAAGGGCTTGGTTGGAACAGGTCCTGGCCCGTAACAGATACTCAGGAGATGTTAGTTGCTGCTGCTCTTGTTAATACTACCGTCATCCTCATTATCATCAGATCAGCATCATTCTGAATTTATTTGTTAGACATTTTGAGAAGTCTGTGCTTTTTGGAAGCTTCAGGCTAATGTTTTCAAAATGAGGATGTCAGTACTAAAAAAGGAGATATTCTACTTTGTTTTTAGGAATCAGAGGAAAAACTAACTTTCACGTAAAGTGAGAAGGGGGCCTCTGGATGTCAAATTTGTCATGTTGAAGTTTTGTAGGCATCAGGGTAAACACTTTTCCTTGGCTGTGTGTAGGCAATTACTAATTAATCTAATCTTAAGAAATTTTTTAAAAAATATTTTATTTATTTATTCATGAGAGACACAGACTGAGAGAGTCTTAAGAAATTAGCGATCTAAGTCTTGGCAAGTGTAGAGGAACTTCTCCCTCTTCCCCTTGCTTTCCCTGTCTTCTGTTTTCTCTTCCTAACAGCACCTTGATTTTATTTTGAGGTGGTTGTAACAGTGGAGCTGTAACCGGGGGCCTCACCCAGGGGCCTATACTCAGCCTAGGGATGGGTGTATGATCACTAGCTTGGTTAAGTGGGTGTGCATGTGCAATCTGAATCTTGAACTGGGGGATTCTCCTTTCTTCCAGTGGGCATTCTGCTCTGAAAATACCTACTCTGAAACCACCTTAGCAGTCCCCATCCCCTAGTCTCTATGTCTGTCTTGGCAACTGATGGTTACTAAGCCTTATTTTCCAATCTACTGTAGATTCAGTGAGCCCATAGTTTCCTTCCAGTGATCTTCCTCAAATTAGCCAACTGGCTTCAGTTGGTTGTAATCACAGAAGCCTAAGTGGTAGAGTAGTTTATACATTAGGGAGCAAGGTCTGGGATAAACGGGATGTGTTTGGAGGTTTACAATAAAAATACCATTCATTACTTTCTTCCATCATGTGTAAGCACCTGAACACTTTGCAGTAGATTATAAAAGGTGTAGAGATCTCAATTTCTATTTCAAAAATGGGCCATTTTGCTGGACTTCACACTGTGAAGTCACTTCTGGCTGCTTCTCTCAGCTCTCAAAGGATGTGTGTGTATGTGGGGGTAGAGCTGGAAATGGCAAGAGGAGCAGAGAGGTCTTTCCTCCAGTTTTGGGGGCCCTGGTCTCTCTGTGGTCTGGGGGTTGTGAAGGAACTGATTTCCTTCTACTTACTCCAGCCTCCCCAAACAAAACTCATTACATACTTTTCTACTTTCCCCTGAATTTTATTCCTTTTGAACACTTGCCTTGCCCTACTGAACACCTTCTTGTCAACGATGTGTAAAATGTGATTGAAAACTCAATTATTTTGGTCTCTGGCACTGCTTGTGGTTTTTCGAGAACGAAATGGGCAAGTTTGCTCTCTTTCCCCTTGTGTCTTGTTTGTTGACTACTTCTGCGTTCTGTGCAGTGCCTAGAACAAAGTCGGTTAATGATTTTTTCCACAGGAACATCAATTTTGCACTCCTACTGTGAATAAGTAGCATTGCTGCCTTATATGGTAGAAAGAGCCTTAGCTGAAATGTTAGGGAACATGCCTTCCAGTTTGGGCTCTGTTGTTGGTAGCTTTATGATTCTGGGCAAAATATCTTAACTTTTCTTAAGGTCTCTGGTTCCTCACTGATGAAACCAGGATAACCCTTGCTCTATCTACTGCATAGAGATGTTTTGAGGTTGACATAAAGGTAATGTATGTGAAAGAGTTTAGCCACTTGTCAAGTGCTGCATAACATCAGCATGATGGTGATGATGCCATTTATGTTAAGCAGGTGGAAAAATGAAGGCATCTTTTTAAATTTTTTTTGTAAGGTTGGGTAGAAAAGGGACATAAATTTAAATACAAAAATAAGGGATGCCTGGGTAGCTCAGCGGTTAAGCGTCTGCCTTCAGTTCAGTGCGTGATCCTGGGGTCCTGGGATCAAGTCCGACATCGGGCTCCCTGTATAGAGTCTGCTTCTCCCTCTGCCTCTTCTCCTTCTCCTCCCTCCCCCTGTCTCTGTCTCTCTGTGTCTCTCATGAATAAATAAATAAAATCTTTAAAAAAATAAAAACGAAAATAAAACTCTGCTTAGTGCTTGTGCTGGATATTCTTTGTGCCTCCAGCTCCTTGCTCCTCTGAAAGGCTCTGTGCCCCAGGAGACTAACCCCTACTGTCAGCATTTCTTGGTCTTCTTTGCTCTCTGGCTTTCTGTTGAATTAGCCAGTGGAAGGCACTGGGTTAAAATCCATGAATGTGAGTTTGGAATATTATTCCTTACCTTCCTTGCAGCAGTGCAGTTGGCAGCGGCTCTGTCCCTCTAAGGAAGGCCACGGTTCCTGCTGAGCTCTTTCCACTCTCTGAGGGCTGCACCATCCCTTTCCACTTCAAGTCTGAAGTGGCAGCAGGTTTATTTGTGCTCTTTGGTCCTGGACTGTCCCTTCTGGCTTCCCTTAACCTTGCCCACACCTTTTGTTAAATCCATCCCAGATATCCCGGATGAGGCTGCTGTCTCTTTCCTGATGTGACCTTGATTGCAGAGAGGAACTTCTTTCTTTGTATTTCTTTCTGCCATTCTCAGTTCAATTCTACAAATGTCTACTTAGGACTTACTGTGTGCCAGGGACATAGTAAATGGTTATTGTAAACTTTAAAGAACTGGACATTTTGGTGGTACACTTGGAAGGATTATATCAATCAGGTTTTTAAAAAGCAAGTTTTGGTAAACTGAAAAACCTTATAGTAACCCTACTATGTAAAGACATCCAATATTACACGTTATGAATTATCTTTTAAACTTCACTTTTATTTTTATCAAAGCAAACTATCTACATCAATTTTAGCAATATTTTTTGATACTCCCCATTCTTACCACTTTTAGTCCCCTCAGCCCCCTAAACATAATTATATCACAATTTTTATTTGAATCATTATGTAGTATTTACATTATCATGTTGGTCTGGTTGGTAATGTGTTCTTTAACATGTAACTTTTGGTCTTCCTTAGAAGAATTAACATATGCTTTCAAAATTTGCTCACTTTCCTAGGCATCTATTTTAGGAGATGTAGGTAGTCATAGCATTTCCATTTTAGATGTATAAATGAGATTTGAGACTTAAGTATTTTGCCCAGAATCATACAGCTAGTAAGTGTCAGAATTGGGGTTAAACACCAGCCAGCCCATCTATAAAGCCTGCATTCTTAATCATGACATTGTTTACTAACACTGTCACTTCAGTTGTTATCCTAATGGCTATGTTAAAACAAAACTTGAGGTCTCTCAGATTCAGAATCAGTAGATCTGAGATAGGGACCAAGAATCTGTAGTTCAGAAAGCTCCACGGGTGATTCCATTGATCAGCAGGGTTTGAGAACTTCT